TTTCCACATCGCCAGTGAACAAACTCTCCCCTGACTCTGTTCTTGGTGTATGTGTGGCCTTGAAGGAATACCTGAGGAGTACCATTCTGTGACTTCACGTATTCTACTCTCTGAAGACCATCGTTTGTTCTTAACCCTTAGTTAGTTATTTGCTTTATTTAGCGTCGCACGCACAACTAAGGTAAAAAAGGAAAAATATGAAATAGGTAAAGAGTAATAGAGATTTAGTGTAATAAATGGTTATTGTTATTGTTTGAGGACAGAAACCTGTTTAATTTGATTGTATTTTGTTAATTTGTTGCTCTACAAACAACCCATGTTTAAATACATATTTATTAAGTGAATAATGATGAACATGTAAAAGGTTAAAAAATGAAGTTGATAAAAAGAGAAAACTCATAATTTTGTATGAATAAGATATTAAGTGAGTGGTTTAATTAATTTGGGGTTTGTTATAATGTGCTTGAGATCAGAAGATTTAGCATTATTGAATTTGGCAAGTGATACATTTGCCGTTTGAACATTGTAAAAACACATTTGGAGAACCCAGTGATTGAGTAAACCAGTCAACATTACCATTCTGATCAAAGTATTACTGTACAAATGTGAAAAACATCTCGTTAGTGTATGGGATAGGTTCATTATATCAGTGGGTAAGACTAGGTTGTAATCACAGTCACGCCTGATTGATTTGTCTGACAACTGGGACGTCTGACTTTTGGGACGTCTACATGTGTCTCTTTTGCATCCCCTGAATACTCTTAAGTATGAATTGATAAAACATTCCCACTCGGCCCCTTATAACCTCTGGCAATTATTCGTCTTTACATCATTATGGTGTGATATAAAACGCAATATACCAACTTTGTGTCGACCAATTCCATTTTAGCTTCTTAATACCCAACGCGAAGAGAAGTGAGTGAGATTTAATGTTGCAACAAAGATGGCGAGAGAAGCGCCCTACAATTTCTTTGTCACCGACAAGGCTTTGCGTTTTATGTCATATTACAGTCCTGAATTATTTCGGTGCATTATCGTATTAAATGGAATTCGTAGTGATTGCAGGACAAACTGTGTGAATACGAGACCTCTGTGTCCTCGCACAAACACGAAGTGAGTTGGGTAAAACGCCGCTTTGAAAACATATTTTAGTTATAACATGGCGTGGTTGATTAAGATGGGAGGAAAGTGAGGTTGTTGACGTTATGCACTTTGGTTACAATAACATCCTAGAAGAGCATGGATCACAATCAATACGGCACACTTAAACCACAGGGGAGACAACTCTGGTATCACGTAACACCCATCCAAACATTAATGCAGTGTTTCAGACACTTGGGCGAACCCAAGCCTTATGATGCAGATCATGTGTCAAAACGAGTCATCGATCAGCGGATCCTGGTGGGATATAACTCTGTAGACCGAACTGGTACGCCTTAAACCACCATACTTTTCTCACACTACAGTCAGCCCAAGGAACAGAAGCATTTCTAACACTGATCATGACTGAGATAAACGTGCCCCGTGTTACAGCCGTGATGCAACTGGTAGTTTGCTGCAGGAGGCGGCACAGTTTGGCGCGTCATCGTACACCGTGTTGCAGGGGAGGATCCAGGATTATGGGGGTGGGGTGAGGGGGTGTAAGGGTGTGGGGTGCACATAAATCATAAAGTTCAAAGGATAGAGGGAAATACTCCTCAAGGAATTTATCTCGGCAGAGAGAGAGAGAGAGAGTTTACCGTTCTCAGATGAAATTTATCCTGACTCAGTTATGCACTCTTTGACCGTGTTCAATTAACATTTCATGCAATTTAGGGGCGGTGGAGTAGCCCAGTGGTTACAGCGTTCGCTCGTCACGCCGAAGACCCGGGTTCGAGTCCCCACATGGGTACAATGTGTGAAGCCCATTTCTGGTGTCACCCGCCGTGTTATTGCTGGAATATTGCTAAAGGCGGCGTAAAACAAAGCACACTCACTCACTCATACAATTTAATTGATACAAGGATGAAACTTGGTGCATAACCACATGTTCTGATTATCCTGTCACACGACACGTACGTTCACCAGTGTGCTGTTATCGCTGTTCACCACCTCCCAATCAGAGACTGAATATGGCTACAGATGATAACCAGGAGAACATCTGATTTCCCAGAACCACCCAGACAGATCACGTGTCATCACACTTCCGGCACTTAAACGGTCGACCTGTGGAACTGCAGTTCGGGGAAAACATGCATGTATAGTGTTTCCCCATCGCATACATTGTCGTCGATGTAATCGTCAGAATACAGGAACTAGTACCAGTCGTCTGTGTCTAATTCCCACCTCATGGAGACGATTGTTGATTGTTTGGCCTGATATCCTCCTCAAACCTGGCACATGCCATACAGTTTCGGTGGCACCAGCATGTCCATTCACCAGTATCCTAAACCATCCGTATCTGATTATCTGATTTCGTCCAAATTACAATATGAAGACACAAGGTATGACAGACAGATAGATAGATACACACTTGTATAATTTCATCTTTCAGCAATCAAACCTAATTCAACAGCGTGATTTCACAACACACTTGTTCTGAGCAACATTTGTTCCTTGTTGAGTCATGTGACCGTGAATCAAGGAAGGAAAATAACATTACAGTACGGGCTCAGGCCTTATTCTCATGTTCATCTCACGCTGGACACTTTGTCAAACACAACTGTACAGAAATTCTACATTAGATAAAGCAATTTCATTTTTATGTTTCTGGCGCTTTAGTTCAGTCTGCGTACTTGTTAACCATCCTTGGGTAATGGAGCTTAGCCTGCAAAGGGTCGATTGTAATTGTTCCCTCAGACAAGGGATGGATTATCTATACTAACGAAAAAAGTAGCCGTGCATAACATAAAATTGCATAAAATAAAAGTTATTTGAAATTTCTAAAAATAACCCTAAATAAACATGTATGAATGCACTTTGCACGGAATTTGATGTCACGATTCGCGCGTGGCACGTGCATTTTGTGCACAATGGACTTACTCACTGTGGCATGCTTTTTGACACCTGAAGTTTACACACCTGATATTGAAAATAGAAGAATGACTGATTATTCTCTAACCTTTGACTTTTGTGGAAAACACGTTAATTTCAACCTAAACTGCGTGTATGTCATGCCACGGCTTACAGAAAATCAGTGTCTCCGCGCCGTGGGGATGCTGGAGACTGGAATGGCCCAAAATAAAGTGGCCAGCCATTTTGGTGTCCATCGTAACACGATCTCATCTCTATGGAGACGTTTTCAACATTATGGCAACACGAGAGATTTGCCTCAGACCGGCCATCCACGCGTGACGTCACGTCAGCTAGACAACCACTTTCGGCTGACCATCTAAGGAATCGACTCCAGACTGCCAGTTGACTGCTCGGACCATTCCTGGCTTACGTCCAATCACTTCCAGGACTGAACGGAAGCGATTGAGGGAGCACAACGTCCAATTTTGTTCCAACGTCACCGACAGGCACGTGATGCAGGATTGGGATGGTGTTTTGTTCACTGACGAGTCGAGATTTCTTCTGTTTCTGGACTCCCCTTGCCAGCTGTTTCTCCGGACCCGTTTGGGATGAAATGGAGAAACGTTTACGTCAAACCGAGAATCAGCTATTGAGTGAACTTAATTGGAACAAGCGTTGGTTCAGACATGGAGCATCATTCCTCAAGCTTTCTTCAATCTCTTAGTGTCGTCTATGCGTCGTCGTTGTCAAACCTGCATCAACACCAATGGTGGACACACACGATGCTGAATTTGTGAACTGACTTTTGACACCACATCTTTTCAAGGGCGTGTCCCGATGCCCAGTGTCAAATCATATAGATTTCGATCTCATCCTGTCAACAGTTAAGCGGTGATTAAGGAAAACACCACAAATCATGTTATCTTTTTGCAATAAAATATGGCATAAAATAATGCACAGTTACTTTATTCCGCTAGTATACTGTTCCCACGTGCTGCGGTATTACGCTACATTTCATATGAAACAACCAACTTTGATACACGTTGTTCCTGTAATGAATCAAAGCCCTACCAGTTTTGAGTCCCTACTGAATAAGGTGCCTTATGGATGTTTTTTGTCTGTTGTAAATGAATGAGTGAGAATATATTAACTCCGCTTCCGGCAGTATTCCAGAATCATGATGCCTGCGGACAACATAAATGGACTTCACAATAGTACCCATTTGTGTAATCGAGCCCGAACCTTCGCCATGACAGCCAGACATTTTAACCGCTAGGCGTTCTCATCGCCTTTATACGGCAAATTAGGAAAATATCGACTTTATTTAGAAAAATACTCCACAAACAACTTTGGAAAGGAAACACTAAATATATGTATAAGTTGGTATGATAGTTAGTTTTATCATTACCGACGTTGCATTTACACACCCCACTTGAGTTGCCTCGATCAAAAAGTCAAGGTTTATGGAGACCTATCTTTGGATATGAGAGGGGTCTTTAACAATAGGAGAGTAATTAGATCCAGATTGTCCTCTAAGTATTCTGATAGTTCCTTCTATTCTAGATTAAATATTTACCCGTATTCGCTTATAACGTCACATGTTTGCCTATAATGAAACAAATGCTGGGAAACATACATTCATTTCTGTCATGACTTTTATACATGTAGCAAAACATCCCGAAATTGTTATTGTGGAATGGTTGTGAGCGAAGAGAAAACATGCATTGTAATGGGCCAGAATGACCAAGCCGCAAATGCTGCCACAAAGCGTTCTTTTAAGCTATGCTGCACACTCATTTTACCCAAACAACACCTGTAAGTTTATAATGTCTACGTAAGGAGAAATACAAGCATAGTCTACACCGTCTGGTTGTCTATGTGCAGTATTCCGCTGATTCATGTGTTACATGCAGATATAAACACACTTTATTTTGTTTATTCTGCCTGGCTTTGTTGACTGTCCTAAAGTGTGTGAATTACACTTCCCTGTAGGCGACAGACTACGTTATGCAGTCACTTCATTTACTCAGTGAATGACGGACATGTTGTTTACATGGCTGTTGGTGTGTTGGGGTGCTGTCTTGTGTCAGGGTATAGGTAGGTTCACACATCTTGTGTCCGCAGGCAGGTACTCGGTTGTTTTAGGGTGCTGTTATCCTGCTGCTACAAGCAATAATTTCCACTTTTTCTATTTGTATGCTTCCTGTATATCTTCCGCGAGATTAATCAGTAAGTATTTCAGAGATTGGTGTAGACTATTGTAACTCTCAAGTTCTCACAGCCTAGGATACTCATCTGCGTTGAAACTGGATATGAAATTGTGTCCTCAGTCACGTACTCGGTTGTTTTAGGGTGCTGTTATCCTGCTGCTACAAGCATAAATATCCACAATGACGGTTACGGCTGTGTCCCTAGATCAGTAACCTAATCATTTCACAGATTGAGTATTGTAACCCATTGATTTAAGCATAAGTGTGTAAGAAGCAGGAACCCGGAAATCAATATGTTGCATAGAATAGGGTTCACTCTAGTGACGTAAGTATATCACGTGTGTCTTCTTTATCACTCATACAATATACAGTCATGAGTCATCACGCGGTCTCGGTCACATGTGTATTGCCAGGTGTTTGCGTTTTGTTTAAGGCGCATTCAGCAATATTCCAGCTATATTGCGGCGGTCCGCGGACCAGACAATCCATTGATTTACATCATAAGAATCGATCTAAGCAAATGGTATACGATGTGTCAACCAAGTCAGCAAACCTTACCAACCGATCCCGTTAGTCGCCTCATACGACAGGCATATGGGCTACTGAAGACTAATTCTTACCTTGTTAATTCTTCACGGTTGTGTGAATACTGACAATATTAGTATGACGTCATGAATGTGATAGTGTACTGACAGTATACTGATAAATGTGATAGTGTACTGACAGTATACTGATGAATGTGATAGTGTACTGACAGTATACTGATGAATGTGATAGTGTACTGACAGTATACTGATGAGTGTGATAGTGTACTGACAGTATACTGATGAATGTGATAGTGTACTGACAGTATACTGATAAATGTGATAGCAGTATACTGATGAATGTGATAGTGTACTGCCAGTATACTGATGAATGTGATAGTGTACTGCCAGTATACTGATGAGTGTGAACGGCAAGAAACAACAGTTGGAAGGGAGGTACTCACTCTGGTTTCACATTTCATGATGGAGACATAACTGATTCAATCTATGTAAATCCGATACATTATATATTCATGTGGAAACGACACAGAACAGAGAATAGTGCTTGTTAAAAAAGATGACTGTGTTTTGCCTTAAATCAGTTGCTGAAATCCGTTTTCTAGAAACTTCTCGGATACAAATTATCAATGAACGAGACAACTGGTGGGAGGCCCAAAGCCGATGTGAAGTCAACAGAGGCAAGTTGTACACACCAGGCACAGATGACATCCCAGCAGAGCTTGTGGAGAATCTACAGTCCGACACCTACTACTGGATAGGTGCCATGAGCTACAGGGCCTGGAAATGGACAGGTACAAAGAGAGCTGCTAGATATTTATGTCAACTGGCCACACTTTTTATTGTGAGAATAAGATTCAATATCAGTCACTCACTTTACTACCCTAAATTTAAACATAACCGTTTCACAAGAAATTATACAAGCATCAGGAATACGGCACGTAGCATATCAATAGACCTAAAGAAGCTAGAGTACAGTTTTCCTCTAATATATTACCTTCAATTGTCCAAATACAGTAGATGACAGTCCCCTGTTCACCTATGCTGGCTTCCTTCCTCTTGGGAGTGTGACAGTAGAACCAAAGGGAACATATCTTGATAACTCGGTATGGAAGTGCCATCTTCACTGCAGTCCAGCATATTCAGTAGGCATGAAGGTGAGTTGTATATATCCTAAGTTCATCACTTGAAATAGATGCAGCAAACTGTATGGCAGTTTCAGTTACACTCACATACTACTTATACAGACTAGAATGTTGATAAAATCAAAGTTAATTATTTCCTTGAAGCACGTAGCGTCGTCATGTGAAATCTGAATTATCATTGTTTGATTCAAATCCGATATAGTGGTTAAAGTGTGTGAAGACCCGGAATCAATTCCCCACATCGGTACAATGAGAGAAGCCCTTTTCTGGTGTCCTCTGTCGTGATATTGCTGGAATATTGCTGAAAGCGGCGTTAAACTAAACTCTAGCCTCATTATGATGTCTTATTTGTCTATAGGGGCGGTGGGGTAGCCTAGCGGTTAAAGCGTTCGCTCGTCACGCCGAAAACCCGGGTTCGATTCCCCACATGGACACAATGTGTGAAGCCCATTTATGGTTTCCCCGGCCATGATATTGCTGGAATATTGCTAAAAGAGGCGTAAAACCAAACTCACTCACTCACTCACTCACTTATTTGTCTGGGTTTCATCAAAGTGGAGAACGTGAGAAACCTTCCTCTTCATGAAGCTGACACAATATATCACCAAACTCACTCACTCCTTCAATGGATACACCACCACATTCCATACACATTGTCTGATTGTGAAACATGCTTTAAAACTGTTGCGTCCTCGGGACAACAGCAGTCCAATTCCTTAGAAGATTTGGTAGTTTCTAAAGGTCAGAGGTTCACACTCAGAATACAATTAACTGACAACAATTGGTTTGTTTGTCAGCTGTAGTATACTTAGAGTCATGGTTAATGAACTGCTCAAAACTCCATCGCGCACAGTACGTTCAGGGCATAGTTTTGTTAACTCTCATGTTACCACATAGCTTTATGTCTGTCTTTGTGTGCATACACAGAGACCACGTGCTACTGTTTGAAAGAAGGATATAACACTACGAAGTCGATGCTATCCGAGAGCACGTGTCCCGGAAACTTGGAGGAAAGGTGTGGCAACATCCAGGGGATGTCAGTATACAAGCTAGGTACGGCTGCGATAATTTCTTCCTTACATACCATAAAATATTTCTATGACACTGATTAATTTTACTGGATCAGTGTCTCGATGCCTGACAGGAACAACGTATTTTGGTTATTATTTATTCAGCCTTGCTGCCATTTAACTACATCTGACACGAATTTTAGATCTGCTTAAATGTGAGGCTTTAAAATTTCTTTTAGCAGTATTTTGCTTACTATTTATTCATCCTTGTTTTGAAAATTTCCCTTCACACTGAGCGAACCAGTTCTACGATGTATTAGAATTAATCTGTATGAAGCTAATTGGACTCTTTAGAAAACCCAGCCAATACACCTATAAGCTATATTACAGCCATACGGTCGTTGTAGGGCTCTGATGGTATTGTGGCACAAGGCACAGGGCTGTTTTGGACTATGTTGTTGTTCATAGTTACCACACTTCAGTTACACGGTGACAAAAGGCGAGTGGTCAGAGCCTACAAGATTAAATTCGATTATCGTTAAAATAGTCGTTCTCTCAGTTTTAGGAGTATCATAGTAGCATGGTAAATGGTACATCTTGAAAGTGTAGATCATTCAGGTAATCTTTGAATGTTTGAACTGATATTATGTCTTTATTGTTTTTCAGAAAACATGATATTTAATCAAGAGGAAGACACGTACTGTGCTTATGTGGATGACACGGACCTTTCCATCCATACCAGCACTTATGACTATTGCAAATTCATAATTGATTGTTACGCCTGCTTTACTTTATCTGGCAAGTTGCATTACGTTTCATCCAAAATAACATAAATCTCCCTTGATATTTATATCTAATTTTAAGAAACTTTAAGTTTACTCCTAAAGATCATTGTCCTAATTACGACCACCATTAATACCTTACAATGTATTACAATTTCCACTTTCATGAAGACACGGTATGTTTTACAAATGACACTACACTGAATACAGGATACTATATACGACTAACTCTACCATGAAGACATAACATGACTCTAAAACCTGACGATACAACAATTTCTCTTCTGCACAAGATTCAAAAACTCAGTAAATTTCATGCAAAAAGAAGAGATGCATATAGACACATTCACGGTCAATTGCCAGTCTAGGGAGATAACCTGTAATCGTTGTTATAATCAAGGACGGACTTACCTCATATTCAAGAAAAGAAAATGGGACAGATAAAATAAATACAATGTGGACTGTGAAAAAAACCCTGAGAATGTGTTTACATTTTTTAACTCCCCAAAATATTATCAAAGAAAATTCTATTCTCGAAAACATTCGATTTTCCATATTTGTACCCCACTGTTATGCACAACAAATATAGGGATGGCTAACAAATTTTATTCAGACTTTCGTGATTACCCCTGTGTGAAACTGTGGCATAGGACAATTAGGCAAGAAGTAAGCATGGTTGCCACATTTGATCTTCTCCTTCTTACATACATATGCGGAAAACATACGCTGCTGCACGCGCACCACTTCAGTTTGAATAAACACGTTAACGCGTGTTTGTTGTCTGACGCTGCAGAACAGTACTGACACCATCACGTCTAATCATGCGCCTTCAGATGCTGGTTTTGTTATTGTATAGGTACACGTTTATATAGGAGTATATTGCACACTGTCGTTATATGCAGCGAACAAGAGACGTGTCTTCTGTAAATCCAGTAAATCTGCTCAGGGCAAAATGGTGGTGAAAATATATGAATGGATCATTGAAAGCCAGTCATGACACCAGGTGTTCGCGAAACGGGTTAGCATGGATCTGTTTGTTGGCTGACACAGCATGACTACTGTCATACCTCACAGCATCAAGGCCAGTGTTTCGGCGATATGAGGCCAGTAGGAAATGTGGTTGTAGAAAGCGTTGTCACCACCCTACGTGCCCCAGTGTTCACAATGTTTTCTGTGCACGCAACTTTAACATATTTACGTTCATTTTATAGGTGCAACTACAAGTATATATTGTAGACATTGGAAGTCATGGCGTGCTGCCAGGAAGGCATGTGACTTGGTTAAACTGAATACATCTGCTCGGACCAGTCTTCTTGGAAGCCGCAGTACCACCACCACATACTGGATCGGTTTATACAAATATCTGCACAGGAGATGGATAAACGGTAAGTAGGGCTATTTAAAAATTGATTTATATCTGTTCACAGCACAGATTATATTAATACATACAAAACTTTGAGGTGTTAACATTGATATTTTAAAATAATATTGACAAAAAAGGGGTGGTTAATTAAATTTCTGGAAGTCAAATTTTCAGAAGTCAAAATGCATTCGTGGACCTTAATTGTGATAATAACAGGAATGGCAAGATTCCAACAGCTATCATATTTTCGTGTCTATGTTATGGAAACCGATGACTTCGTCAATGGGTTTGTCTAGTCCAGACTCGGTTGTCATGTAGATGGAATCATTTCTGGATTAGTTTTCTTTTAATGCGTTAGTCCTGACAAATGGTAATTTGTCTCCATGTATATCTATTTAAAGCGAAGACTAAATGTCTCGATAGAATGGTAAATGATGACATACCTGAAAGTTGAAGAACATTTCGTTTTAAAAGAGAAAATCAAGAGTACGATACTATACATTTTCACCTGTGACACTGACAGAAAGTACAATTTACCTGAAAGGCTATGTTATAACATTTGTGTATATCCTGTTCAATGTTTTACTTAGGGGAGACGGCTTTGAAATACAACGGGCGCCGCGGTGCTTTGTCTTCACACACTATAGCTAGGTGTCTCAGTGTGTACAAGCAGAGGAATGGAGGAAAGCGTTTATACTGGAGGCCATGTTCAGAAAACAGAAGTTCCTTTGTGAAGATGGTATGGTTCTTAGTTCACTTCCTCACTTCAGTCATCCTGGCGCTGAAACCAGACAGGCATACAGTAGCTTGTCTTCCAGAAACCAGTTTGAACTAATCGTACCACTTTTGTGTAAATCGCAACTGAGAAATAAGTTCATTTCCAGACCTTTAAATAGCTATTCTTAATCATATATCTAACAAATGTAAAACAGATAGGAAAAGTAGGGCACATGAGTGACCAAGTCATTTTAGGCATCAGAATTCGCTGAGCAGAGTCGCAAAATGTTTGCAAAATATCATGATCGGACACACGATTCACCCTGATTTGTATACTCGGTTTGTCAACACCGTTATCGTGCTCTTTGGCTTCATGCTAACATGTACAATCACATCTTAAGCTGATACGCATTGTATTTCTGAAATAGTGATAAGAGCAACGTAAACCGCATCTCACTCCCACTTTACATATACCGTTATTTGAGCTTAGTAATGTGTTGAATATATTTCACTCGAGATTAATTAAATGTAATTCTGTTTTTTCTAGCAAATTATAACATTCAAATGCTACAAACACATGATATTATAGTGTGTCTATTTGTGTTCATGAAGTACATGCATTTTACATCAAAGGTCATTTTTTACTCTCTAAATAATGTTCGTGACATCCAAAGAAATGTATAGTGAAGGTAAAAGAACTTTGGTAGGTCAATAAGAAACAAGTGCTTATTACTTTTCGTATGAATGAAACGTGTGGCGTGGGACGCAATGTATTTCTTTTCACAGGAAGTGATGTGCACCGATGATATTGACATTCTTACATTCTTCCAGCTGGAGACCATAGGACCTACTGTTAAAATGTACTTAATTTGGCATATGGTTCATGGTGGTATGTAATGATATCTAGGCTCCATTCAAATGTTTTTGTCACGTTTCAAGCTACTTGGTGTCTCTGGCCATAATTTAACTGTCTAGTATTGGTTGTTGAATTGGGTTAAATGCTGGTTTGAACAATATTGAAACTCTATCAGGGGGTCCGAGTTTAGTTAAGGGGAAAAACCGGCAATTCACTTTATGTTAAACCCTGCATATTATTTCATACCTCATTGTCAACATCCTGGGAAATCAGTTGTTTGCTTGTTCTCTTTACACTGTAAAGGGAAACTGTGAAAATGTCATGCTGGCTTAGAAATACACTGTTAGCATAGACACATGATGGAGATATAGGTCTCATATCTCATCAACACATCACTCCGTAACTCAGGATAAATTAATTCTCAGTATCTCTATATGGTTGAGAAAGACCAATATGATTATATGAATCTCCCTCTTCTCACTATGGACGAAGGGATGGCGTAACGATTGTTTCTTCAAATGTTGGGGTTCGATCCTTCCTTTGAAGATGCGCGTTAGAATTGGTCTTCAGCAACTCATGCATGTCGAAAGAGGCGACTAAAGGGATCGGGTGGTCATGCTCGCTGAGATGGTTAACTCATGTTATCGTATCCAAACTCCGTAGATCGATGCTCATGATGTTGACCACTGGATTGTCTTTTCCGCGCTCGATTATTTACAGGCCGCCACCATATAGCTGGAGTATTGCTGAGTGCGGCGTTAAACAAGCAAAAATGGGGTTCGATCCTGCCATTGGTTAATATACATGAATGTCATTTGTCGATCTCTCCGCCGTAATATATCTGTAATAAAGCTAACGTCAGCTTTCATACCAACTCCCTTGATATTATACACTGATTCGTTAAAGATAAATCATTCATTACGATTACTCCATAAAACATACCTACAACGTCAACAACAATGGAGTCAACATCATCGCCTCAATCCTCAACAGCGTCAACCACAGTTACTCCACAATCATCGGTAACAACGTCAACCACAGTGACGCCACAATCGACAACAACGTCAACCACAGTGACGCCAGCATCATCGCCACAACCCTCACCATCGGCAACAGAATCGCATTCATCAGGAAGCGTTGCTACAACTGACAACATCGAGGTTGAGACACCAACAGCAGGAAGGAAAGATGCGAGGAAACCGTCGATCAATCCTGCGGCCGGTACGTATCAAACAAAGACAATGTGCATACGCTTTATCTCAATTGACACATGCCCACAATTGATGTTCCAAGTTAAACTTTGACAACAAATCTGATCTAAAAAGTCTACGAAATTTCATAACAATCAGCGACAGGTAGGGGTATTTGCATGTAACTTTTACATCATAGATCGTGCCAGTGTCAGTTCACTGGTCCTGATGTAAAAACGTGTACCCTTTTCTTGCATTATTACACACTTAAATCATTTTCGTAATTACATACGAGCATATATTTGATTTGATGCTAATATAATGTATATTTGGTATATACATTTATAACTGTCTTCTTGAAGGATGCTTCATTGGACTAGGTGTTGGATGTGTGCTGCTTGTTCTGACAGTCCTCATTGTGGTCTGTCTCTTGAGAAGGTACGAAGATACTTAATATCGATAACATATACTTAATCAGTAAAATATCCACAACTAAAAGAAAAACCGGAAGATAGGTTTTAGTCTATGAAATATTATTATGAACTAATGATTCCAAACTACATTCGTTTCAAACGCAGTGCTTGCATATGATCTTTTGTTCCCATCAAATGACATCAGAATGACTCCACTGCAACAAATTGTTAGTAAAGGAAACAAGAATACCAGAATATATTGCATTTTTTCCAGACTGAATTTCATGTTGACACATCGGGTTTCAGGCACAAGAAACTGTGTTTTGAAAAAAGTGATGGGAATCAGCCAATACACTTCACTTCAGCCGCAGAAAACATCACCTATGGTTTAGCCTCACACGCACACACAGAGAGTGAAGCATATGCTGTCATCTCACTTCCTGACACAACAGATGCAACATCGGCGACATCAACGGTTCCACCGGCGATAGTCCGACCCAGTGTCCACAGTGACAACATCAACATCAACAACGCTCAGGTTAATGATGAGAATGAGTACAACGTGCTATCAACATCCAACAACTCCAAGGTGCCCGTGTCACATACAGGAATCCTTACAATCATCTATCAGGACTTGACGGAAATAACGAGTACAAGGGAGACTACGACACAGCAAACTTTGTTCCACAGACAGAAGAATTGACCACAGGGCTGAAGAATACTGTCACACACCCACGACTGCCGGACGTATGGAATGGTCAGGAGGAGGAGGAGCATTACAATGTGCTCGGCCAGCACGACACTCCCAGAAAAGTTGATGCTGCCGCTGGGGTGTATGACCACGTTGCTACGGACGAGGGGGACTATGACACTGCAGGGTGGGGAAAAGAATGTCAGCGAGGTGGATGATTCTTACAGTCATATACAGAGGACAACTAAACCATGTAAAGAAGATACGTATGATGTCGCAAGTCAAGGGCAGCCGGAACGATGTGCCGACGACACCTACAACCATGACGTTAAGGTCGAAGACGGTAGAGGAGACACCAACCGACTACTACAACACAATGCGTCTTCACCGAAACAACAGGAATCTTGACGGACATGTGGAAGGTGATGCTGGAGTCTGATATGAAGAAGGGATCAGGGAAAACGTCTACAGTCTTGCCAAGGACATCTCTGATGCCTGAATGTATTCGAAGAGGGCGTATACATATTGTTGCATTATGTTTACCTTTTCTTTACTAACAATCAGTTCATTTTGGTGCCATCTCTGTTCGTATAACCTATTATGTGTAATTATGTTCCTCCTGTTTCTTTCTGATGTTCTTGTTCCTGGCTCTGCATCATGTTATGTTATCATGGTATGTTCATACCTCATGGTTTAGTCATGAGATTTGTTAATTAATGGATGATTTAAGATGGATACGCATCACATGAATGTTCTTCTCTCTACATTTCTACTTACATTTCATTACATTCAATATATTTCATATTGGTGTATAAATAAACGTATGCTTGGTTTCTGTTTTTTAAATTAATTTTATACATTTAATTGAATATATTTTCTTCCTAATACTTGCAGGGCAAGATTTCCTTCAACGTTTCATTGTATTCACTATATTACATTTTCCAAATGTACATATATGTCTTTATAAAAGGTTATAATGTCATGTTTCGTATCTTTTTACTTTTAGAAAAAAGGATTGTGTTCATGGTGATTTGTGAATACCATAATGAATTTCTAACACGTTCATGAACTACTGGGCATCTTTGAGTATTGAATCAGTTTATCGCAGCAGGGTGTGGCCAAGTCCGCTGGACAGCGGAGAGCCATATCCTACACCACCGTGATCTGATTTGGTGGTGGTTCATGAGAATCTGGCAGCAAGTCCAGTACATCGACCAAATTCTTCACTTCTTCCATTATCAACCGACAGATGGGTTATTTCGACCTACTTTGTAACACTACACCACAAACAACGAACTCTCTGTTGACTTCCTTCATGATTGTTTGTGGTGGTGTTTTGCCATGTTGAAACAAATCCCTGCTCTCCACGTGACCACACGCCTGCTGTCGAACGCGCTTTGGTGTTAACGTTCATTTCGACTTTGGTACACACGCAGTTAGAGAACGAATCGTGATTCGTCACCGATCCACACTCGCCACCAGTTCCCTAGCGTTCATGCCTGAACGGCGTTGCTCCATCGAATACGTTGTCGTCGATGCAAACATCCCAATACAGGGACAAAGGCCCACCTACTGAAGCCATTCCTGATTGTTTGGCCCAATACCTCAGTGAAACCAGGCACACGTCCTGCAGTCTCTCGGTTCCATTGGCTTGTCGATGGCGCAGAGGAAAGATCCGTTATGTTGCAGGAGCGATGATTCTTGGCCTACCACATCTCAGGTTGGTTGGTTGATGTTTAACGCCGCTGTCAGCAATGTTCCCGACATTTATATTCAACAATATATGGCGGTGGTCTGTAAATAAATTGAGACTGGACCAGACAATCCAGTGATCAACAGCATGAACATTAGTCTACACAATTAGGATACAATGACATATGTCAACCAGGTCACCAAGCCTGACCACTCGATCCCGTTAATCGCTCTTACGACAAGCATGTGTTACTGAAGACCAATTCTAACCCGAATCTCCAAGGGTTCCCACTTCTGGTGAGATTGTTGCGAGTATACCTGTTCCTATGTGTGTCTCGACATTTCAAAACAAACAACACATGTAATCCAAAATGTTGACGCCTTGTAGTCATTTTCACTGCACATACCAACTCTTGGGGTTTTATCAGAAAATATCAGGACTTGCAAGTCCAGTAAGATTTTTCATTGCCATGACATTTTCGCGCAAGAAATTGCTACTACAGATACAAAAAGTTTGAGAATAGTCCAGTTGTACGGAATGTTTTTGAGATAAAGAAACAAATATTTTCAGTATTTTCTATACCTTTCTTTGTAAAAGCGTTTTATGTTTTTAAATTTTTATTCAGCCATGTTTGTAGCACCAGGGGTTGAATGCTATCATAAAAACACATTAGCCTGATTTAGACAGCAGGTCCCGTTACCGGATGAACACTACCTACATTAACAATACATTAAATATACTTTACTTCCTTGTTGCTGAGTCCCTCACGAAGCAACGACAGTCTCTTTAATACACAGGAGACCAGTTAAATCAGTGACTGATATCGTAGGTCTGCCGATACATTTATAGAATGTGCCAGTATGTAAGCAGTAGACTTGTACTTATTTGACTGGATAACATTGGATCATGTTGGTAAGGGTGAGTAAGTAGGATGTCAACAAGAGAAATGTGCCTCACACACTGAACTCATGTGGGGAATCGAAGGCGGGTCGTCAACGTGACGAGCTAACGCTTTAGCCCCAAGACGAACCACACCTCCAACACACTGACACAGCAAATGTTAAATAGAAAGTTTAAAAAAATAATCAAAATACTCTCGAAAGTACATGTAAAGAGAATTCTTCATTTATTATAATCATTTCTGCATATCAAATTCTCTTGGTCGGTTTTCGGAAGGAATCGATATTGATTTTTGTATGCATCCATACATGGTGTTCATTACACAAAGTGACATGCTACGAGGATCCATTGTGTAACCAGGCCCCTTTGTCTTTAGCACTTCAACTGCACTCTCCAGCTACTGTAACAGTAAGTTACTCAACCCTGCCGTGTCAGTTTCACTTCCTTGTTAGGGTCAACGTGTAGTCACAATCAGTACCCCCGACTCAAGGTAGTAATTAGCCAAAAGTGTCCTCGGTAAATTGTCAAAGTTTTCAACTCCTAAGAACTAAGGGATGAAATGAGACTCAACAGTAAAGTTTTAAGCTACAAACATTAATTTCACACATTCACTGATATCCTAACAGGGAGTGTGTAATGTAATGGAACACCATGAAAATCAGTAATTTCATGAAATCCTTGAAATTTTAGGGAATACATGAAATTTCCTTGGGGTCACAGGGATTTCATGAAATCACTGACTCTTTTAGGATTACGTGAAATCCCTGGTTTCACTACATTCCCTGTAACATATATATGCTCCTTCATCCTTATGCTGTTCATCACTTGGTTGATAACGGTGTTAGGACCTACACCAAAACGTCGCTCTCACAGCAATAAAGCAGTTGTTCATCCATATATTGTTATCCTTCCTAAAAGGTGAACACAGTCATCTCATGACATTCAGGAGTTTGAGGAGGATCAGTAAAACTTCCTCGGCAAGCTCGTCTGTTCACGAGAGGGTTGTATTCACGCTGGTATGTACGACAACATAGGTACAGAAAGAGACATTAAGGCATAACGTTGCATGTAAAGAAAGCTATAAGAACCGACTCGAACAGTCACATTAGTAGTCCTTTCATGTGTTTGGAGGACGGGCAATACGATGTCGTAAATGCAAGACAAACTGAGACCACACATGGAGATTATTATTATTATTATTATAGGATATTTATATAGCGCACATATCCCACGCACTAGTGCATGCTCATGGCGCTGGTATTTTTTCCCTCGATCATTGGATGTCAATCTCAACGGCACATCGCATTATCAATCTCAACTCCTGGGAAGTATACAACTCTTGCAGCCACTAGGCACACCGAGTTATTGTGGCTTTCTCATCTCCTGGTTAGGATTATACCAACATACCAGAAAATATTTGTTTACGATTAAAATATATCTTGTTGACTTCGACTTAGATCTTGATTGTAATGTTGCACATGTTAAATGAAGACAAGACGGAAGGAAACATTTAAAAGTATTCTAAAGGGACTTAGTGTATGCAGTGAAATGTTAAAATATTGAAAACCTAACCTAACCTCAAATATTATGCCATACAGCCAGTAATAATTCTGATAATATTATTCATTTACACGGGTTTCCAGAAAACAAATAGAAATTGTTTAGCTCTGTTTTTTTCTTTTACATTAGTAAATAAATCATATGAGCTTATTGTTTTGTCAGGAGGCATTTCATTTTCAAACAGCACAATGTATATTACCACTTCATGGTGTTACATGCGATTCATTTTGAGGCGACTTTCAAGTCCTAGGGATACAGTCCTGGCAATGTTTGTTTGTTTGTTGTTTAAAATCAGCAATATTCCAGTTACATGACGGCGGTCTGTAAATAATCGGGTCTGGACCAGACCACCCAGTGATCCACATAATATGATGATCGATCTACGCAATTGGGATACGATGACATGTGTTAACCAAGGCAGCGAGCCTGACTAGCCGATCCCGTTAGTCGCCTCTTATGACAAGCATGGGTTACTGAAGACCAATTCTATCCCGGATCTTCAACGTAACTTAACATACACATCTTTTATTACTTATACACATGTTAAGTACTTTCTACTATGGCACATTGCATACTGACGTTCATGCAAGCACTGAACCAAATGAAATATATTTTGTGCGGCTAGATGTTGATAATATAATCTTCTTTCTGGACAGAATTGTGTCGATTGTCTTTACACAATAGTGAGTGAGTGAGTTTAGTTTTACGCCGCACTCAGCAATATTCCAGCTATATGGCGGCGGTATGTAAATAATCGAGTCTGGACCAGACAATCCAGTGATCAACAGCATGAGGATCGATCTGCGCGATTGGGAACCGATGACATAATGTCAACCAAGTCAGTGAGCCTGACCACCCGATCCCGTTAGTCGCCTCTTACGACAAGCAAAGTCGCCTTTTGTGGCAAGCATGGGTTGCTGAAGACCTATTCTAGCCCGGATCTTCACGGGTCCTTTACACAATGGGTGGGGACAAGTGTGGTACTGGGTTCACTAGGTGAAAATCATTGACTGATCATCATATATGGACAGTAACGTTGTTACACAGAAGGACGTTTACACACGGCGACGTCTACACAGGGAACGTTTCCAGAGAGGGACGTTTACACAGAGGAACGTGTACACACAGAGGGACGTTTACACACAGAGGGACATTTGCATAGAGGAACGTTTACACAGGGGCGTTTACATTCAGATTGACGTTTGCACAGATGGACATTTACACACAGGGCCGTTTACACACAGAGGGACGGTTGCACAGAGGGACGTTTTCACAGAGGGACGTTTACACACAGAAGACGTTTCCACACAGAGCATCGTTTCCACAGAGGATCGTTTACATAAGGAACATTTACACATGGACGTTTACAGAAGGAACGTTTACACAGATGGACGTTTGCAGACAGGGACGTTTGCACACAGGGACACATACAGGGACGTTTACATACAGAGGACGTTTAAACACAGAGGACGTTTACACAAGGAACGTTTACACACAGAGGAACGTTTGCACAGAGGAACGTTTACGCATAGAGGATCGTTTGTTTACATAAGGAACGTTTACACACAGGGACGTTTGCAGACAGGGACGTTTGCAACGTTTACGAACGACAGGGGCGTTTACAGACAGGGACGTTTGCAGACAGAGATGTTTGCACAGAGGTATAAGATCGAGAAGTGTCATTGTTCCTGGTATATGTCACAGGAAAAGAAACTGCCGAGGCGATGATATACTGTGAGGTTAAAGGATCACTTCGTAATCACCATACAAATAAAGCGCCACTTTGATGAGACCAGTGTTTTAATATATTTGTATATAGCAAGTAATATAAGCGAGTTGGAAGCTATTTGCGAATTTTTATACTAAACAACAACGCAAAAAAATGTTTTGCTTGTGGGTGTGCTCGAAATCAGATTTTCGTGAATGTCCATAAATATTTTACAATGAAAGGATACAACGCCTGACTGAGTACTAGGTTTTGTTAACACTCTACCTTGAACACTCACATAGAAGGTCACACGCACTAATGAGAATGTTTGCACAACGATAACGACAAAACCCCACCACCACACCCTCATATGGAACATGAACCACCTCACTACTATTTGATATCAGGAAAAGGATATCATGTGTGTTTTAAAACAAAGGGAAGTATATTAAGTGGTGGAAGCAAACACCTCACATCATCCAGACTGACTGAATTCACCCAGACTAGATTCATACAGTTTACACATCGGGTTTATGGTTCAAATCTAAATGAACCCAATAAAAAGCACACACACACTGTCAGTCAATCCTTAAATTATGTCGTCAGATTCAGAGGATTTCTATTGTTTATGGAAAGGATGTTGTCGCTTTTCCGAAGAGAACATATACAAGTGATACAAATCCTATAAAGGGGCTGAATGAAATTCAGAAACAGAACCATATAAACTGAGATTACATATATTTTTATTTAGCAATATTAAATATACTCAAAAGATACTTTTGATACTTAAGTTGCTTTTAAAATACATAAAATGCACACTACACAACTGTTGTGGGGTATGTTAGACGTCTTATAAATTTACATTTACAAATGGTACAATGCCCGAGTTTAATGATACATTTTCACAATTCTCTTCCCTTTTTCCCCATTGGAAACCATTTCATTGGTTATACCCTGGCGTTGACGATTTGTGGTTAATGTACATCCTTGCTATCTATACATTCAGCCCTTTATCCCATATCTGCATTGTATATCCTGGCTGGAGATAAAAAGCTTGCTGGTGTTGAAAAGCGGAAGCCGACATGAGGCCTACTGTCACTCCAGTGTGTAATGCCATTATATTGACTTTGGGGCATTTTTAATTTGTGAACATAGTTAATTATACAATACAAGTGTTAATTGCAAACAATTTCTTCAGAGTCTGTTTCACGCTGCCTTCTTATCTTGTTTTCTTGGTTACCTTACTATTTCAATTTATAAGATACTGTAAAACTTTTCAAAGCTGGTACATGCTTGAAACCGTTGATAGGCATCGATGTAGGCATTGCTTAAGCAGTTGCCTTCTATGACCAATGGAATCGTTTTCAGTGCACTGATTACTCCCTATTGACGATTTATCTTTATGTCAAAATATATCTGTACGTTCAACATGTTGTTATTTTTCTTTATAATCACATCTACAGCTGGCATATAATATACGTTTAAGGCCTATAGCTACGTATAGAATCTGAACCAAATTATTGTATGACTTTGGACATCGACCAGTAACATATGAATCAAAATTGCTGAGTATATCAACTGCTTAGGTTGATGAGAATTGATTTAATGAACGTTGCCTATGAACCTGGTTTGGGGAAGAGAGATTTATGGGCTTAGTACATGGTGAATGTGGTTAATCGGACCCAATGCGAGAAAACAGAAGGAAAAAGTACATCAGGAAAAAACTTAAACATTCTTATCATGTGACAGAAAGACTGAAAGTGGATACGACTGGTTCTCTGACGTGCTGCTTTTGTTTATACGAGGTTGACAATACAGTGTATACAGGCTATGTTATGTACACACACAACCTCTCGTAATGTACTCCATTTACCTGCATGCTTCATGTGAATTTAACTTCCTGGCTGGTATAAACATGGCGTGCTGTACACACTGGGTGAGAGAGACGTCGATCGTGTTGTTTGTAGTTTGTTCTCTGCAGTCCGGATACACCAGTAAGTAACATGCTACATATTAATGTAATATTTGTGATATATCATTCGATAACCTACAGAAGTGACGCATTCATGATAATGTTCAGAGGTATGCTTGCCTCGTTGGGATTGTTTTGACATGACCGTTGAAAATCACGTTTTACACAACTTAATATCAGTTTTCGTGTCGCGCAAGACTATCTGTCTTTATTCCTCACAAAAATATAATTCCAATTAGATAATTATAATCCTGATGACCTAATGTGACAAATGTTTGAAAAATAAGCCGTGACATTTCAGTTGCATGGGTTAATGATAAATTCGGCATTCACCAAATCGAATTGTAACAAACTCATAACACAAAATTGATTCATTTTATGTTATTGCCTTAGACACTAGTTAAACAGAACCTATTTAACACAAGGAATGTATCATATTTCGTTTTCAAATGATATACTTTATATAGTACGTGGGGGCGATCTCAACTTCTTCATATTGGCCAAACCTTAAATGTACAACTTCTTTGAGTGGCATTTAGAATATGGTGTGATGAACACAGGGCATACTACTATGGAGTTACATCTTCAAGAAACTTGCTTGATAACAGTGGTGTTAACATCAACACCGAAACGTCGCATATATTGTAATAAGGAAGCTGTATATCCATAGAACTATCCACCTTGTTAAATGTACACAAATACCAGCAGTTCTCTTTTGTACAAAGATATAATCTGAGATATTATCTGTGATGGTTTAAATGGAGCTAAATAGCAGTTATATGTACCAACAAATACTAATCTTCTCCGGAGAATGCTAAAGTAAAAGTCAACTTCCGAGACCAAACAGCCCTAGGATATCTGCAGAAAACCATTCCAAATTATGTTGATGGGTCACTGAAAGTCTCTGTCTACACCAGATGTTCACGAAAGGGAAAGCATACAATTCTGTGCCAGCACTCTCACGCGTGTCAGTCAGTAATACACCATGAACAGGTCACAGGATATGGTAGTCTATTTCCTTTTAATGACTAAAAGTGGTATCATCACTTCTTTGTGGTGATTCATAAACACATTCTCTGTCATCGTATCGCATGGTAACAATCACTGGATTGTCTGGTCAGACTAGATTTGTTTACAAACAACATCATACAGCTGTTATACTGCTGAAACATATATATGCTCCTGATATAGTCACAATTGTACAATGGACTCTGCTTCCAGCAGAGATGACTTATGAATGTGGAAAGGGTTTTTGTCGTTTCTATCTACTATAACATTCCAAAATAGACGTTCTGTACATAGAGAACGTCTACAGGATCTAGCGTTTGAAGTCTGAATTAAACCATTTTGGTGCTATAAGCTACAATTATTGCTCAAAAGTGAATTGATCGAGGTTTCAATATTCAATACCTAAGCAAAGCTTTCCTCAAAGACGTTTATAACAAACATCTGGAGGACGTTTCCAAATTCGATGCATCAATGACCAAAATGATGTCCGATGCCGTAGTTTGACGAGTACAATAGGTTCCCTACATCTGGTGAACACTTGCCTTTGCATTTTGATCTAAATGCGTTCCTCCCAGAATATGGTACGCGAATCCTATGAACACCTTTCATCATTATTATTCTTTAGTGATAATGCACCTATGCTCACGATGTAGTCACAATTACAGTCATCTTTACTTTGGGTTGTGTGTTCTTTTCACATTCAGTCTCCTTATGAGTTATGGTTCTGAATTACGTCTGCTGTGTACATAAGTCTAAGACTGTACTTCATGATAGCTATGTAACAAACATAGTTTACATTACTTTGCAGCCACTCGTGAAAAGCATATCTACTTTAACAACAGCCAACTGAACTGGTGGGAAGCACGGGCCAACTGCCAGGCCAATGAAGGCGACCTGTTTGTTCCAGTGACAGAGCCCGAACCTTCCCGTATGCCCGGGACACGAAACCGGTACACATACTATTGGCTGGGGGCTATGAGGTATTCAACATGGACATGGACAGGTGAATGATACTGATGGCTAATCCGTCTATGATAGATCACATCTTGAGTGTATATCAATCGTATACAGTATCAATTGATGCACATGTTTAGTCAGTGTTTAAACATCCTCTCCGGTTTGGTGCCATTGTCATATGCAAATTACACAAGAACGATTTTAAGGGGTTTCCTTTATTTTCCTGGATCAATCAATCAATCAATCAAGTTTATTTCGTAACAAGGCCTTAGGCCCGCATTATGGCCAATACAAATAAGCATGTGTAATTATAAGATAGTGGCATTTGACAATCAGGTTTATGTGTATAAAAGAACGCAATGACAATGCTTCCTTAATGTAGAAAAGAACAATTTGTTAGTGTTGAAAACTTTGTACAGGAGGATAATGTACATTACATTCAAATAGGAAATGAAATTCATTTTTTTCTACAAAATTATCATTACAAATATTACATAGTCTTTGGTGCCTCGGAACTCCATCAAATCTACCGGTATTTTTATATATTGGAAGTGCACCGATTCGTAACATTGTTATTCGACGCCTCGCATCTTTAGATTTCAATAAGAGTTAAATATGGCTCAATGCAAAATACACTTTTGATACACGGGAATAGACATCAAAAAGCGATGAACATTTGTGCATTTCTGAAAATATGAATTGCTTCCTGACAATCACCAACTCTTACATGAAAATCTGGATCAAGTGTTTTAAGGAAGCACTAGACAGAGTTAATGACGTTAGAATCTAGGGGTAATTCATTTTAAGGGATGAATATGGAATTCCGGGAAACCATATCAACAATATCTGTTAAATTTCTAAGAGTTTATTCTATTATTATTGTTTGTGATTATTGTAGACGATGGCAATCCGTTGTACATAAACTCCGGGCTCAGTACCCTTCCTGCTGATCTAGAGAACGTCAGGACCTTTCCCGACAACTCCGTCAACAGATGTCACCGTTACTGTGGAAGCGATACTCATACACTGGGCTTGAGTGTAAGATTTATGTCAAAGATTGTGTTAATGTTATTCTTGATTCGAAAACTGTTCACAACTTTACTGAACCATAAGGCGGAAGTATTATTTCAGATTTCATTCACAGACATTGTATTCCGGCACTGTAACGCTAACTTACGGCAAACATTCGAAGTATGATGCATTCTGACACCTTACACCAGTTTTATTTTCTCAATGATGTTTGTTCAACATCAATACGGCTTGAGTGTAAGATTTTTTAAAAGCATATCCACATATGCCATTGTAAAAATTGATGTAAAGGCAGATTATTTACTTATTTTCGTGACTTTTAGTTAAAACACCATGACTTACATACAGTTTTAGAAGACAAGCGATGCAATACAGACATCGTACACTGCTGTTCGAAACTTGTTCAGCTTGTTCAATGTGTAATTGTTTGTAGAGAGACAGGTGTTTTTGTCTTCGTGACGACTATAAAGCTTCAGGTAACACATCAGGAGAACCGTGTCCAGGCAACCCAGACGAAGTGTGCGGGTACGCCGACCGATTGTCGGTATATAAATGTCGTATGTATTTCTGTTTTAATGTATTCAATCTTGTTAAATGATACGTATAATCTCATGAAATCAATTTTAGGGCAAGCATATTTTCTGTACGTTTCGTGTAATTTCATTAAGGTTATCACTAAAATTCATTTACGCCCAAGGTGTCATTTGTTTAAGGCTTTCTAAGGCAGATTCTTGGAGATATGTTTGATCACTGATCAAAATGATGTCCGATACAATTCCAAATAATACTCATGCCAATAATGGTTGTCACCCTCCTCCTCCCCACCCCAACCCCCACACCCCTCTCCAATTAAAAAATGGAAGGGTGACAACCGTATTGGCATGAGCATATTTCCTTAAACCATTTTATCCTGTGCTGATAATAATTGTGATAATCGTACAACGATATAATGTATGTTATACGTTCTGCAACAATGTTTCACCTGTTATACATTGCACCTGTAGGGTCAGTGAGGGGCATGAGGTGAGGTTAGGAGAAATTGGGTTTTACGTGTGCTTGAGAATATTTCGCTCATATGACGAGAGGGTCACGAGAAGATTGGTACTGTGTGTGCGATGATCATGCCCTGGATACTCTCTGTTAAGATCCGGTTAGAATCAGCAACCCATGCTTGTCGTAAGACGCGACCTACGGGTTCGTGTAGTCAGCCTCGCTGACTTGGTTGACACATTTGATCGGTTCCCAACTGCGCAGAGTTATGCTCATGCTGTTGATCACTGGATTGTATGGTCCAGACTCGATTATTTACAGACCGCCGCCATATAGCTGGAATATTGCTGAGTGCGGCGTAAAACTAAACTCACTCACTCTGTTATCCCCAGTTGGATTACTGTTGGGGAGAGGTGAATATTACCGCTATCATCTTCATTGCTATAATCACTGCTCTTGTATTATATTACCTCTGAATGTGTACTGCTTCACTGTTTTGTACTGCCATGGCAGTAAATTTGTATTGATGTGTGGGGCGGTGGGGTAGTCTAGTGGATTAAAGCGTTGGCTCGTCACGCCGAAGACCCGGATTCGAATCCCACATGGGTACAATGAGTGAAGCCCATTTCTCAGTGTGTGATATTGCTGGAATATTGCTAAAAGCGGCATAAAACCAAACTCAGTCAGTCAGTCAGTATTGATGTGTACATTTTGTGGTAACTTAATTCATTTTAGGGTGCAATTATTAATTACAGCAACATGTATTTGTTGTTTGTTCGTTTCAAACCAGATCTTTTCGACCATTCATTCCAGATTTACTTTCTAGTTTCAACTTGGGAATCAACATGTAACATAATTTGAAATCACTGATTGCCTAAAAATACCCCTATGAGTTACAGCAAGTAATCATCGACCAAAGTAGCAGTCTGGTTCAACTTTCTGTTACGGGTTGATTCCCAAGTTGAAACTAATGCTGTAGTTAATCTGAACTCCGTGTGAAACCAACCAACAACAAAGAAATGTGATGTAACAACATATTTCAAAGCTCTGTAAACGTATTACAGTGGCAGCACAAAATAGACGGACAAAACAAATTCAGAGAGCAGTGATTACAACAAAAAGAGACAGTGATGGTAGTGTTCACCTCTCCCCAAAAGTAATCCAACTTGCAAAATATGACTAAGCAGAGTATACAGGATGTAGTGATCATCACACTGGTCTTTTAGTAACTTGAGTTATGAGGCAAAAGCCAGTGAATATCATTGCTACATAGCTTACGTCTATTATTTCAGCTTTTGAAGACTCCACAGACTTTGTGTTCACACCGACAGGAAATGGACAATGTGGTTATGCAATAAAGAATAACGGCAAGTTTACCATTTCATTGGATGATGGGGACAGTTGTAAGACAACAGATAGAAGATATGCATGTTATGCAAAAGGTGAGTAAAGTTTAACTTAATTCAAAATACTTGAAACTGGCAATTTCAACAAAATGTAGGCCTATTCTCTACATGCACATGCTCTCACCATAAAAATAAGGTGATATTTGTCCAAGAGAACGTGGTCATTCTCAAATACACCTGCACAAAATCCCGTTCCCTTGGATACCGCCTTCCATGTCAGGTGGGCAGAGCGTCTGCCCTAAAACCGGAAGCTTTATTCTCTGCTGCGTCAAACCAAAATTCCTTAAAAGATAGTGTTTGTTGTTATCTTATCTTTCGTTTGGGTATGAAGGGGATACAAGAAGGACAGTAATATGCATCTGAGTGGGATAACCATGCTGAACTGAAATGTAGTTTCCGATTCACATTGTTATGATGTACATTGTTGAAGTGATATTTTAGGGATAACACGTGGATCAGATTACACCTGCAAAAATGGTGTGTGTGCTTCCACATATCGGCGGAAACGAACATGGACGGAAGCAAATGACACGTACGATTTGGTGAAACTTGAAAGTTCCATTGTGAAAGATCTACAGAAGACGATGCACGATGACTCGGAATATTGGATCGGTCTTGTTTATAGACCTACTATGAAGTGGATCATTGATGTACCATTTGGTGAATATTTATCGGTTGTTACAGATTCTTTATGTCAGTAGCTACTATTGTGCAAGTCAAAACATTGAATACACAACAGTCTCGTTTCCTGTTTAATGGGTCCCGCCCTATTGCGCAATTTAGTACAATAACCAGTCCAGAAGTTTGAGACCAATTCATTTAACTGGATACATAATTATTATTCAGTATTATTAGATACATCTAAGCACTTGTATATTGCAACACTACGGTCGTTCTAATCCTTGCAAACACGTCGTGGAGCGTGCTCTGTCGTACAGCGAGTTCTGACAAACAGAAACCTGGAAAATCGTGGAAATCTTAAAACGAGGCTCTCCCGCTAGAAATGTTTGGCGGTTGATATTATATCAATTACATTGTGCGTTACAGAACTACACTGAATAAGCGCAAAAAACACATAACAGGTGTAACCAGTGAGTCAGATGCTTTGTGAATAATTTTACGACCTCATCAAAGAGGGGCAGTCTATGACGTCTTAGTTAAGGTCATGCTGCCTACACCGCGCCATAAAATATAGAAATACGATGTTATTAAAGTTTAAAATTAAAATTCATTTGTAAAGACCATTTTCTTATGAAACAAGGAATTGGAATTCAGTGTAACCATAGTTGTTTTTTATGTCTATTTTCACTTTCACACGAGAAAATTTGGATCGGCTGAAAAGTAGGTCATTGTCTGAATAGGTTAATGAGACTCATGTTTCGGTTTGGAGGGAAAATGGAACAATAATAATAGGCAATACGAATTTTTTATGTCTGTTGCTGTCAACCTCGTGGTCTGTCCCAGCTACTTGCTGCTAGTTGAAAACGACCACGTGTAAAGGAAGCTACAGTGACATTGTAATCTAGTTTGGTGTAAACATTACTTGCAGACTTACATTCTTTGTTAAATGTCATTATTGGTATTACGGACGAAAGTTGAAATATGCTAATGTTCCAACTTTAAATAGCCGTTGGTAGTAGAGACCGTCTAATTACTCCAGTGAAAAGCTTATTTTCAAACAGCACAAGGTGGTGTTGGGGGGTCATCATCAGAACATTTAAGGAAGAATCTGGTTTCTGACTTTACAGTGAATTGTAATTTGTATCATGTCAGTTGAGAGGCTATTTGTGTACTGTGAACGCTCATCCCAAAGTCTTCTGTTATCTTGGACTGGCAAACGTTCGTTTAGAAGAATAGATAATCAGTTACACATACATATTTAAATCAGATATGTTTCTATGCTAAACCACGTCAGCATATGATAAAATTATGAAACTAAAATATCAGGCTGTGTTCGTTTTAATAATTTTAACATACCAACTCTCTAAGTGGCCCTTTATCGTCTCTTCTGTCTGAAATACATCGCTTTAGAGAATTTCAGACGCGAACAGTGCACGGCATTTTGCAATGTTAATGATGTAACTTTGTATTCCTGTGCTTTCGAAAGAAGAGTAGAAAATCGCGAATTCGAGACTGAGGTATGCTTTGAGGATTCTTTTAATTATCATAATAAAGTTCCATCGTAACAGATCTAGAGTAAACGATACTAAGATCTTAAGGCAGAATGTGACATTAGCACGCCTCAGTTAAGTATCCGTCGTTATCAATGTTATAACGTGTAAAGATGCATGTTTGGTGTCGTGAACTAAACACTATGTTTTTTGAATTATTGTTTCCATTTCCAGAACAGGAAGCAAGTGAATATGATGAGTACTCTTCATCAGAGCCCCAGTGCCTTGTAGTGTATTTCACAATATGGTACCAACAATTGTCATGGAAGCCATGTTCGTTTCTATACGCGTCCATATGTGAAGTAGGTGAGTATGTGTTACAAAAGAAAGCGATGTACACATGATGGAATCACAAACACCATGTGTGTGATGTTTTTTCTTCCTTTTTTATACTATAAGGAAATATCCGCTGTATTGGAGACATTGGTTCATTTAGGAAATAAGAGTAAACATTGTGTGGGATGATTCAGAGGTCAAATATAGCACAATATCTTTAATAAGTAACAACGGGAAATGACCCATGGACAAGCTTAAACTAATATATAGGGCTTAGATCATGTCAAGTCGTCAATTACATGTAAAGTAATATCATCACACAATTTTGGACTGATCTCTCATCAATCTAGTTGTACCCAAAACGTCAACAACAACCATGACACCACAACACTCATCATCACCAGCTGCAGCAACAACAGCATCGGAAACACCAACATACCAACCACCAGGAAATGTTCCTACATCCGAAAGCTACATGTCTACCTCTACCAATAACCCGGAAGTAGGACCGACTGAACCAGTCACAGCTTCAAACGGAACACAGACGGGTAGGTATTATTCCCTTTATACCCTGGTAGAAGTGATCAACATGTGGTTTTAGTCGATTTCATATGGCCATTATGAGTTTTACTATTATACTTATTTTCTCCAAGAAACTCTGAGAGTATTAGTATTACTTTCAAGGGCACGTGTAGCCCAGTCGTCTAGGGTGCAGCAATTCGGTGTGAAGAGTTGCGTCCCTTTGGACACGGCGGAAACCAATGGTGGTGGGTTCAAATCTAAATTCGCCACGAATACATTTCTAGGTTTGTCACCAAAATGGTTAATGTCTGAGACCTTCGAGCTTTTCCCCTCACAATACCATGCCGTGATATGAAACCTGCATCAATTCGGGCTTCCCGCCTTACAATCAGGCGGCGCCGTGATGTGACTAGAATAACCGTTCAATCCAACTCACTCACTATAACTAAACAAGTGACCATGCAATTTTCCAGTATACACGTACGCAGATCTTAACACTAACTTTGAAAACGTGGAAATTAGCCACGGTAGAATATTTCCATTGTTACTTAACATTCAATGTAGGATACCAGACAAACACGTAAGCTGCTTTGTGCAATAGCGTTAATAGGAGACGCCATATGATTTTGATGCACCATTCTTCCTTTTCTCCAGGTGTGTTCATAGGTCTAGGATGCGTTGTGCTTATGCTCGTCGGCATCATTGTAGTACTCCTGTTGATGAGGTGAGATATATCCAGTGTACTCAGAACAGTTGCTATGATACAAGTACTTACTATGCAAACTGTCTATAAGGTTTTGTGTCCATGTGTTTCTATATTATGCTTTGTGACTGTTGTCATAGTGCCTCATGCTTTGTTAGAAGCATAATGTGACATCCGTCTAACTGACAATGGTTTGCCAAGTTCTATTCAAATTTAATAACATCTGTTTACATCTGAAATGTTATGCAGGGCACAGATGAGTTTGAGGCACCGGAGTCACACAATGCTTTGAGAATATTTGCGTCTTAAGGCTAGCTTGAAACCTATGCTGGCTTTTTATCGGCTGTCCCGCTAATGACAACGCTATATACTTGCCCCTAGATATCAAACTCACTCGCTCCCTCAGAAAGAAACTTGACGTCTTGTATGATCTGGCTGATCCAGCAAATGCTTCTTACATTCTGCGAATGTGGCATTTTGGTATAGACGTATACATGCATTAATCAAGCAACATGTGTATATAGCAACTGATTAAGTCGTATTATAATGTTTACAGCATGCTATATTTTGTGTTTCAGACAAAATAAACTCTGTTTTAAGAGGAAAGACAAGGAACAGTCGATGCACTTTAACACGGCCACACAAAACACCACATATGATGTGGAGGTACCTACACAATCAAATACCTCTGCATACACTGACATCACACTAGCAGATATGACTGACGTCAAGCCAATGTCTTCCGCCGTTCCTATGGCAACAGTACGACCTAGAGTTCAAAACTACGACAATACCTTTCCATCTGATGGGGATGAGAATGATTACAATGTCCTATCACCGCCTGGAAAACATCATGCTCCAGTGACAGCCGGGAATCCGATCCACAACCTACCAGGGCCTGTCAGAGGGGACTACGACACAGCACAGGCGTGTGGCCAAGGGACTGGGTCTACTGGGCTGAACAACTCGGGATCGTCTGCTGCGAGGAGAAGTCCAAAGGCCCCTCAGGGAGACGATGACGTTGTCGGACAGCACGACCCTGGAGGAGCTGCTGAGGTGTATGACCATTTGAGGGATGGCGAGGGGGGTCATGCCACCCCACAGCAGGGAAAGACTCCAAAACAAGTGGATGACTCGTACAGTCACATTGGGAGGACCAACAAGGGATTTGATGACAACGCTTATGACGTTGCCAGTGCGAGGCAGACGGAGGACAGACGTGATGACACCTACAACCACACCGACTCTGTTGATGACAACCCAGGAGACACCAATGACTACTACAACACAAGGTCTCTCTTCAGAGACAACAACGAGAGCCTTGGTCGACAAGATGACATACCGGACAACACTGATGTTTACAGTGTTGCAAAGAGAATTTCCGATGCATGACTGTAATTATGACGTTATTCATAGTTCCTCAGTTTCGTAATGTTTGATTTGAAATTGAGTTTCATGTTTTAGTTTTAACAGTCAACATTTATTCATCAGGACTAAAAGTACAGTTGATCTTATATGGTTCCATGTCCGCTATATGTGGTAAACGTTCAACACATGCCGGAAACGGTTGAAGTGATTAATCAGAAATTCCATTTATAGGCTTACAGCGTAATAAGATTTGTTTTTTTCATTGCTTTAATACTAGAGTAAAAAACTGTTCTGAGAAAAATTGCAACACGGGATACAGTTCATGTATGAATGAAATCATGTTTATGATGTTATGTTTATCTATATCTTATTATTAATTTTAAATTGGGACCATACGTGTAGTGGACATTTTAACAAGCTTGAAATATGTTTGTTTATACATCTTATAGGAGATGTTTAGGTATCATCATGTCATTAACAGGGGCGGTGGGGTAGCCTAATGGTTTATGCGTCGGCTCGTCACGCCGAAGACCCGGGTTCGATTCCCTACATGGGCACAATGTGTTAAGCCCATTTCTGGTGTCCCCCCGCCGTGATATTGCTGGAAAATTGCTAAAAGCGGCGTAAAACTAAACTCAGTCAGTCAGTCATGTCATTAACCTAGCACTCTGTTGGAATAGCTGCTTTTACATCTTTGAAATGTGAAAATATATCAAACATGACCTTATGTGTTGCAGTCGTTAGGAATATCGCATGGATTAATTGCTGGAATGTATCGGATGACTAATAATGCCTCCGCCATCTTTATAATGCTCCTTTATAATGTTTATTTTTGTATTTTGTTCACTTTAAAACGTTTATAAATGTTTCCATTAGTGTACGATTGATACATCACTCTATAAGTATTCACATTTATCCTTTCTTTTATTTCTTTTATGGTAAGCACAGTGTCATTCATTGATATATAATATATTACTGCTTTGCTCTAGTATGTATTGTTGTACAGCCGTACATTCATAACTGGAAACTTCATCTTCTTCAGTACTTACTCTAGTACTTCCAGTGATATGTAGAAGTACTTGAATAAGTACTGAAGTAATATATACTCTTCAGAAAAAGAAACTTGACACTGACTTTCAAAATGTAATATAAAAACCTTGTTTGGAAAAAGGACATAAATCATAACTCAACCCTCGTTTTAGGATCCAAGCACACATTGTTGAAAATATCAATTGTGTCGCACAGCCAGTTACACGTACACAATAGAGTTAATGTCACAAGGGTACAGCAAATGTCAGTATCGGTTGTGAACACCACGTGCATGAATTAACGCTTGACACCGGCGACCAATAGATGCAATGAAGTTATCAATCAAGGAATGTGATCAAGGAATGTTCTGCCATTCATGCTGAAGTGCTGCAAGAAGCTCCGGAAGTGTTTGGGGTGGTGGATTACTTCTGCGCACACGTCGATCCAACACATCCCACAGATGCTCAATCGGGACCAAATCTGGTGACCGGGCTGGCCACGGTAATGTCTGGATGTTGTTCTGCTGTAGAAAGTCATGACAAACACGTGCAATATGCGGCCGAGCGTTGTCGTGCTCACCGTGAACGTTGACGTGAGGAAGAACGCAAGGCTGTAGGATTAGGTCTGTGTCCTTCCACCATGATGGATTCCGGCCCATACCATGACATTCCCGCCGCCAAATGGAACAACCTGCTGGACACAGTTGGGGGCGTAACGTTCACCCCGACGTTTGTAGACAATTGCGCGTCCATCACCACGTGCGAGTTGAAAACGTGACTCATCAGTGAACAGTACATTTCTCCACCTTGCACGTGCCCATCTGTTGACACCATTGCAGACGGTCTGCCAGATGACGTCAGGTCAATACATGGCGTTTAACTGGTCTCCGTGCAAAATGTCCGGCCTCCCTCAATCTGTTTGATCTGCAATTCTGCGTAGCCCAGGGATCTGCGTAGTTGTAGACGTCGCTGTCGTAGTGCTGTCTCGTAGGTGGCGCAGCCTGATGTATCGATCTTGTGCTGCAGTTGTCACTCTTGGTCTCCCTGACCTTGGTCTGTCGTCAACGCTGTTGGTATGGTTGTACCGGGTCCACAATGCAGAGATTGTCTGTCGGGATACGCGAAAGTGCCTGGCCACATCTTGCTGAGTTGTTCCAGCTTCCAAACTGCGAATGTTGTTACGTTGAGTTGTATTCAGTCTTGGCAATCTGTAATTGTGTCTACTACCGTTGTAAGGTCTGTATGAACACCCGTTGATGTGGCGTTTGATACTCCGTTAGCACGGATTCCTGCATGCATAAATTCAGGATCTTGTGCTGCACGCTTCTTATAGCCGGATGCGTTTGGTTGAATTGGTAAAATGGTTCCCCAAACTCTACGTTTCTGTGGTTTGGGCGTGTTTCTGTGAATTTTGGAAACATCAGCCTTATCTTTGCTTAATACAATTCCCTTTTTATTTAATGCTTATAGATATTATGAGGAAAGAGTTTTCATACCTATGTCAAGTTTCTTTTTTTGAAGAAAAAAGGCATTCTGTTTATATTTATCTATGTGATATATATATATATATATATATATATATATATATATATATATATATATATATATATATATATATATATATATATGTATACACACACACATACATACACATAGATAGATAGATAGATAGATAGATAGATAGATAGATAGATATAATTGATCTTACCTTCATGTAAAATACTTTAATTTCATTGGTCAATGACGCCAAACCGCCAAAATCACCGCCAAGAAGCTGTATCCCTTACAATCGTATGACGTACTTCATAATATGACGCTTGCAGTGCCCGGAGTTCGAAAACCGTACGATTAGCTGTTGTTAAGTTCACTATGTAGATATGTATTTCACCGACTTTCACTGCTTTATTTAAACTATTTTATACGTTGAATCGTTTGCACACTCAACTTGAACAGAATTAACCATTTTCATAGCATTTAAATTTTCTAAGCTTGTCAGAATATGTTTCACTGATTTTAAAATCCAATCGAGAGGCAGACGCCATTTCGCTTTACATGTCATATAGTCGGTAGCGATCTTCCCCAAAAAATTAAAAAGATTTGTTTGTACATTTTACATGGCGGTAAGATAAATACGTTGTTTGCTTCTCCCTCGGGTAATACGGCCTACCGGCTCGAGTGATACTGCTACAAAGAGACGTACTTAGGCCCCATTACCCTCAAGAGAAGCATACACCTCATAAATATATACTCGAGTAATTTATATAAGGAAGTATATATTTATACATAAAAAGTACCCGAATAAACACTGAAGTATTACTAAATTGGTGTGTAAATCGGAAATTGCTATAACCACCTTATTATCTTATCATTGTCAATTACATGTACTTCTAAAACGAGTATGGATCAGCCGTCACTGCGTTTATTCTACAGCCAGCCCGCAGTGGCATGTTACATTTTGGGAGTGGGTTGCGTGCCCAATAACAGGCCACAATAACCTGGAGATGTATATGTAATAAGTGTACAGAACTGTTAGGGGACTATGTAAAATAATTAGTAATTGTTTCTGTTTCAGGTTTGTTAAACCACAAACCGTTCGTACCCTCCTGTTTGTATTTTGTTGATGTATCAAACTGAACGAGATAACTCTCAATAGTTTATTCTTTTAGATTTATATATAAGTATGCATGTTAATCACGAATGCTTAATAAAACATATGTCACCATGTAATACATATTCATGTCATATATTTCTTCCCGCATCTTTCAGATTCGCAACATCGCCTACGTAGGCCTAGCTGTGTTGTCACGTGACAGCCCACCCGGCTCTCATGATAATACTGAATACTGAAGTGTGTTGACGTTGTGTCCCGGCCAAAACACCAACACTGTTCGTGAATACAAAGTCAGATTGACTCATGCATAACATGTAGAACCAAACATACTTGATGCAACACGTTGTATTTACCCACCTTTGTTTACTGGCCTAGTTTTAGGGGAATCTCACTTCCTTGTTGGCAATAACTCGTGTATGGAGTTACTTGGTGTACTCAGTGGTATGTCTGTGTACAACAGTAGATCTTGTGTCGTAAATGACAAGGCATGACAATCGAATTGTGCCGAGATGATCTAATAATGCTTGTGTTATATGATTGATCTACAAAATGGGATTTGGAATGCAGGCAATCCCAATGAAACTGTAATCTGTAATTTCAGATGTTTTAGTCCAAACTGATCTCACTAAACTGGGAACCTTTTTGTAGTTACAATTCTCTTGGGTTTAGATATGCGTGCCAGATTTGTCTCCCTTGTCCGTACAAAACTTTTAGCAATATTCCAGCAATAACATGGCGGGGAACACTAGAAATGGGCTTCACACTTTGTATATATACCTTGATGGCAGTTTTTAGCGTTACAGCCCCTGTTAACACAGGGTAATATTGTTCTGCCAGTCTCTAGGGAGGTTACATCTTTTGATGAACGTTGATTGGCTGTTTCAGAAAATATAAACAGCCAATCAACCCATATAGATATGGGGATTTCACACTTAGTGGGATTCCTTATAGAGAATGCTGTTTTCATTTTAGCGTTTTTTAGATCAAAAACTGATATGGTAATAAAAACAATAACCAACTCGTGACGGGGAATGACAGATTATCTTTCCCTCGTTAAAATAATTATGCAATTCTCTAAATATGTTCATTGATGACATTCAAATAGCAATGATCCCATGTGTTCGTAAAATACATGCAAAAGCAAGTCAATTATCCACCTAAACAACAACAAAACAGGGAAACTTATAGTAGACGTCAACACAGTGGTCCTGGTCGAATGCCTTATTTAATCACTCGATTTTTAGAAGATAGAAAATTTATATTTATCTGAAATATAGGATCAGGAAATGTAAATGCCACAGGGCAGTATTGTATGAGTGACAGTTTTCAGCATTAAATGCAACAGCCTTGCCAAAGTATTGGATGAAAATGTCGATGTTCCATTGTTTGTTGATGATTTCAGTGTATCATGCCGTGGTGCAAATACGAATACCATTGAGAGACAATTATATATTTAACA